GCATCATTACTGTGTCTGTTCCCCTTTCGGGCTTGAACTGATGGTAAAACTAATGACATTATTTACTGTCTTTACATTTATTTTGAAAGATGAAGCTTGTGATTATGGTAAGGGGCCTCACATTTCCGACGCATGCTTGCGGTGTTCGGCCAATCACAATGCACTGGGTCAGCTGGCCAATCAGAGCAGACTGCGCTTGTCGGAAGGAGGGACTTTGTAGAAAACTAAGCGTTTGAGAGAGGCGGGGCATAGAGGACCTACAATAATGTACAGTATTTGAAAAATAATGTGTTTTTTGAACATTAAAGCATGTCAACATATTCTGTTACACCAAATACACAAAATAATGGTCTTTAAAAAAGCATCATATGACCCCTTTAAAATGGAGAACAGATCTTCTAAATTCAATACAATACAATATTACAGTTTTTACTGTATTTATGACCAAATAAATGCAGCCTCGTGACTTCTTTCAAAAACATTTAAAAAATATTGTAATTAATCCAAACTTTTGACTGGTAGTGTACATGCTAACATATTTAACTGTCAGTTAAGAAAAGGGTAAAGTACCTTCATATAGACATTTTATCTTCTATATTAAATTTATGAAACCAAAATCAAAATCTGGACAATTCTGAGAGTAAAATGTTAAAAATCTTTTCTGTACAGATCCAGGGTCAGCCTAAACGTATCAAATGGATGGGAGCCAGAGATCAAGCGGTGTTGCACATTGTCATGCTCCTAGGAGGAGGTAAGAGAAAAATTACTGATTCAATTCAATTCAAGTTTATTTGTATAGTGCTTTTCACGATACAAATTGTTGCAAAGCAGCTTTACAGAAAATTAAGTTTCTACAATATGTTTAGTAGTTGCTTATCAGTGGTGACTGTCAGTTAATGTACATATGGCAGAAATGTACAGAAAAATCAAAGATGTAATCAAACAGACGATGAACACTATTAACAGCAATTATTATATGTTGCAATCAAAGTTATAGCAAAATTTGGTAGTTCTGAATGTTGTTTCATGGTTGGCATCATCTGAGGTCCTCTGAGGGGTTGGCATCATCTCTTCTCAGGTGTTCTGGATCCAGACGGAAGCTTGTGTAAATCCTAGGCAAAAACAGAGAAACAAATAGAGACATAATTAACGTAGCTGCTGTTCCAACCAAGCAAAATGTATTTGTTTAACCCAAGCTAAAGAATAATAATGTGCATTTGATCAGATATAACTGCAGTAAAAGATTATGAGATGCATTATTTGAATGCTTGGCCAAAGAGATGTGTCTTTAATCTAGATTTAAACAGAGAGAGTGTGTCTGAACCCCGAACGTTATCAGGAAGGCTATTCCAGAGTTTGGGAGCCAAATGTGAAAAAGCTCTACCTCCTTTAGTGGACTTTGCTATCCTAGGTACTACCAAAAGTCCAGAGTTTTGCGACCTTAGGGAGCGTGATGGATTGTAGCGTGGTAGAAGACTAGTTAGGTACGCAGGAGCTAACCCATTAAGGGCCTTATAGGCAAGTAATAATATTTTGTAACTGATACAGAACTTAATAGGTAGCCAGTGCAGTAGAATTGGTGTAATATGATCATGTTTTCTTGACCTGGTAAGGACTCTAGCCGCTGCATTTTGGACTACCTGTAGCTTGTTTATTGAAGATGCAGGACAACCAGCTAGCAGTGCATTACAATAGTCCAGTCTAGAGGTCATGAATGCATGAACTAGCTTTTCTGCATCAGAAACAGGTAACATGCTTCATAGCTCGGCAATGTTTCCAAGATGGAAGAATGCTGTTTTTGTAACATGGGAAATATGATTTTCAAAAGACAAGTTGCTATCTAATATAACACCCAGATTTTTGACTGTAGAGGAAGTAACCGTACATCCGTCTAGTTGCAAATTGTAGTCAAAGAGATTCTGTGTACTGTTTTTTGGTTCAATAAGTAATATCTCTGTCTTCACCGCATTTAATAGGAGAAAATTATTGGTCATCCAATCTTTTAAATTTTTAACACACTCTGTTAGCTTAGATAATTTAGAAGTTTCATCTGGTCTTGTTGAGATATATTTCTTCAGATATAAAACTTTTTTAAGTAAAAAATGCTAGGTGCTCCTTTAAAGAGGCTAAAAGCGACCACATACCATCAGAGCTCTTTTGCATTGTTAATGTTGTTGTTTCTTTTACTGTGGTTTTCTTTCTTTTATAGGTCAGATGACCTTAGCTGGCTGAAGCTGCAGTCCATGTGACCACTGACAACAGTTTGAACTCCGAATGATCAGAATTCAGCCATTCTGTCCACAGTCCATCCCATCCAATCATGCCTTTACTCTGGAAGACGTTTTTTGTAGCATTTATAAAGGCCAGTGCATTACAGTATGTCCCTTCAAGAGCTTTGTACTCAGTTCACAAAGAGTTTGCCATTTTAACACTGATTTTCAGAGAGGAGGACCACTACCCACACACGACTAAGAAAAGATGAAAAGCTTTTATTCTGTTCTTGCTGCAGTTTTCTGAGCTTCCAAAGAAAATTTTGTCAGGTTCAGATCCACTTTTCTGAATATGAACACAATCCTATATTTATTTTCATCGATATTATTTATTAAGATAACCTATTTAGGAATTAGCTTAAGAAAGATGATTTAAAAATATATATATATATTGTATCGTTTGTACAGCATTTACTCAATGTTTAGAAGGAAAAGTAGATGTAATAGAGATAATCAATTATTATGTACAGTCACTCTGGCATACTGCGTGCTTGATGGATCTACACTCTTAAAAATAAAGGTGCTTCAAAAGGTTCTTCAAGCGATGCCATAGAAGAACCATTTTTGGTTCCACAAAGAACCATTCAGTCAAAGGTTCTTTAAATAACCATCTCTTTCGTACCTTTTTGCAATCTGAAGAACCTTATTTCGCCACAAAGAACCTTTTGTGAAACAGAAAGGTTCTTCAGATGTTGAAGGTTCTTTATGGAACCATTTAGACAAAAAGGTTCTTCTATGGCATCGTGAAGCACCTTTATTTTTAAGAGTGTAGGTGGCGTAGTTGGACATCAAGCTGTGAAATGGAGCATGGGTAGTGAAAAAATAGACAATCACTGAGCACACATCCAATCATAATAGCGCTGGGGAGGATTAGATGAACACTGAGCAAAGGATGCTGAATGCGACGGTGGTCACAAAAGTGAGAGCATGTATAATAGAGCTGGACAAACATGTTACAAAAGGGCATATTACAAAAGAAATGCTGAGCTGCTCTCTTATATTGCCTCTTATTCTGTCTCTCTTCTACCACGCAACCCAGTTTTCGATCCCAAATCCTCAGAACTCAGAGTTCTGATATATGGGTCATATATGGCAGTCCAAATCTGGAGGTGATATGTGGGCCATGAAATATAGCCCTTAAGAAGCTATATAGCAGAGAATTGAAAAAATCCCTTTACACATTTTATTGCTTTTATTAAGGGGGGAGCAGTGATCCACAAAATGCATATAGAAAGTAGAAAAAGAGGTGAGAAAACATTTTACTGTACTTGACATTTTGACATTCTGTACTGACTGATATTGCTAACAAACACAATATCGCTTTTAATGGGACAACTTCCATGTTGGTCCAGTTTTTCTAGCAGGGACCATGTTGCAGCACTAATGCATTATTAATGACATGCAAATGAAAGAGCCCTTTAATAGGTCCAGTTTACTTACCCACTGCAAGAAGTGAAATCAGGTTGGCAACCATGTTTTACAGTTTCAGTTTATAATGTTATTGATCGCAGTTTTAGATACAGCATAGTAAGGAGTGTACACATGAGTCACCGTTATAACAGGCAGAAGAAGTCACACACAAGGCTGTTTTTATCAGAAATGTGCTGCAAAGCAAGTGTATCATTTGCATCATGAGTCATGGTTCATTGTCTTGTTTTTTACTCAGTTTCAAAATATAGCACATTTGTCATACTCATAAATATCTGTAGCCTTTAAAGAGCAATAAATTATGTTTTACTGGTTTGGACTTCTTTACTTTCATAAAGTAAAGTAAAGCAAAATGACGAGCATGAACTGATATCAACATTATTGATAGCAATTTTGTTTTATACATGAACGTGAATATATACGTTTGGGGTCAGTACGTTTTTTTCATGTTTTTGAAAGATGTCTTAAGCAGTAACATTTTGAAATATTACTATTTAAAACAACATTTCTATTTTCATTGTGAAATCATTCTAATATACTGATTTTTAGAAACAGTTTTAGTAATTATTTGATGAATAGAACATTCAAAAGAATAACATTTATTTGAAATAAATAAACATTATAAACATATTCACTCACTTTTGAACAATTTAAAACATCCCGAATAAAAGAGTTCATTTCTTTGAATTTGTGTGCAAGTAATGTGCAGTAATATTATTTACATATGATGTATTATATAATACATGATTATTATAATCATGTAATTATTTTTAAAAAAAATTTGAGGGGAGTATTGTAAATTGATGGTATATCTAAGAACGTGAAAAAAAATGTATAGCACTTTTTTGATGTGCATTTTTTAAATTAGTATGCTGCATATTTTGAAGCCATTAACTCAATTTCAGTGAACTATGCCTAAATAAATAAACACAAGTGCAATTCCTGAAGGCCTTGATAAAATATCAAATATGATTATTGTAGTAAAAGATGACCAAAACACTAAATAGATTAGTAGAGGCTCAACTGGATGGACTGATTAGCTGATAGGATGCTTCAAAATGGTAACAAAACCAAGGATCAGTGTATAATCACAAAATGATGCAATATATAACACATTATAGAACTCCAAGTGAGAGTGTCCACATACAAGAGAAATGATATTACACATTCAGATCTAAAGACCTTTCTCACTACAGTTATGTTAATAACACCAAAAACACTTTTGAATGCAGCCTATTCATATCTAATAGACTCTGCACATGATAGATGACTGATTATAAGACTTCATGTGTTGTAAGTTCTTCACGCTATAACTCCAGGCTTGTTCCGTGTATTTAGTTTTGAAGAGTTTGAGTTTTGAATATTTTGTAGAAAAGCCTGTCTTGATGCCATATAACGTTTACGGCGGTTGGCTCTGTAGACCTCCAACCGTTGGGCCTCTGCAGTGGGGTCTTCTAGAGCTCCTTCCCACCTCAAGCTGTCCTGTTCAAGCGGAGTCAAATCAGAGCTGTCCTCTTGTGTTGGAACCGCTTCTGAAACACCCTTGGGATTTTTGGGTTTGCTGCTCTTTCGTTCTTTGGCTTTGGCCTGACCTTTGCTCTGAACATCACTCATCTCTCCGTTGGTCCACTGGAGTTTCTCTAGAGGAAGGTCAGACGGGTAGATGGATTACGAGTTAATCTCCCAGAACAGAGAAAACGTATAGGAGGTTTAAGATAGATCACAATGCTTTTGAGACAATGTCAGTAATTACCCATGGTCAACTAATGCACGAAGGAGGCAGCTATCAATCAACACAAGTAAAATACTGTTAAAGACAGACTGTGTTAATAAATGCTTCAATAATGTTATTTAGTTGACAGCACTGGAAGATTTCCGTTCCTAATCATGCCTTGTTTTGCCATAAAATATCTAACCTATATCTCCAATGTATGGAGCGAAAACAAAATTGAGGAATTTTTCGAAATATATTCTTTTATGTTCTACAGGAAAGAAAGCAAGCCATTTGGAACAATGTACGTGTGAGTACTCAATGATGACAGAATTTACATTTTTAGAAGAACTATCTCAGTCTTGTTTTCCAGCAGCTACATTTTCACCTGATATGATATGGTAGTGTTATTAATTTATTAATTTTAGTTTTTTTTTTTTTTTTGCCACCAGTAGCCTAACCACCTAAAGCGTTCGAAATCTCTCGGCTACAAACCAACTCACCTGAATCCCTTGACTGGTTAATGCCATTCCCCGACTTCTTTTTCTCTTTTGTTGGGTCTTTCCTCTTCTTTGTGCTCTCTTTCGTCGTGACACTCAACGGTGGGACGTGAAACTCTTTTTTAACTGAAATCTCCTCGCGCATGTTTGTTGTTTGAGAAGCGCCTTTAATCCGTCTGTCTCTACGTGATGCCATACTTCTATACTAACTGCTATACTAACGTTACATCAAAGCAATTTCATGAGTATTAAAAGAGATATTATAACATTTTAACATTTGATCGTGACACTCAACGGTGGGACGTGAAACTCTTTTTTAACTGAAATCTCCTCGCGCATGTTTGTTGTTTGAGAAGCGCCTTTAATCCGTCTGTCTCTACGTGATGCCATACTTCTATACTAACGTTACATCAAAGCAATTTCATGAGTATTAAAAGAGATATTATAACATTTTAACATTTGTTATATAAACGAACTATCCTTAAGTCGCTAGTTGGTAGCGCGAAAAACTCAGCGTGAAGGTCGTTTGAGCGTGATGACGCATCTCCATGGAAACAGAACTCCTCCTATGTGCCCCAAACAGTCTGGCGTTCACACATGCAGACATATCAGAATCAGAATGAGCTTTATTGCCAGGTATGTTTACACATACGAGGAATTTGTTCTCGTGACAGAAGCTTCCACAGTGTAACAGAATGATGATATTATGTGCAAATTGAAATGTAGACCGAGTATGTGTGTTAGATAAATAAGTGTGTAAGTGAATAAATAGTGTGTGTTCCACAGTTATTGTCAAGTGTTCATGAGATGGATGGCCTGAGGGAAAAAACTGTTCCTGTGTCTGGTCGTTCTGGTGCTCAGAGCTCTGTAGCGTCGACCAGATGGCAGCAGTTCAAAGAGGGAGTGTGCTGGATGTGAGGGGTCCAGAGTGATTCTGCCAGCCCTTTTGCTCACTCTGGATGAGTACAGTTCTTGGAGAGAAGGGAGGGTTGTACCAGTGATTCGCTCAGCAGTCCGGACTACCCTCTGTAGTCTTCTAAGGTCAGATTTGGTAGCTGAGCTGAACCTATCTGAGATAACTACAGATATCTGCCACTTGCAATGAATTAACAGTACGCATAATATCTAGATCATTTGATCACCCATTTTATTCATCTGTATACAAAAGAAAATCTGTCATTAGATTAGATTTGTACAGAACCAATCAATAGAGTTAGCCTTTAACAAGAAGTGCAAAGTGCGAATAGTATAAAGCAATAAATATTCCACTCAAAAGAGATCATACGACCGGTATTTGGCTCAGAAACTAGCCCTATAGGCTACTTAACAAGGCCATCAGTTAGAGAGAAGAACATGGTGCTGGGCAAAGGGGAATTATAAGGAGAAACAGCAGCCGAACATTTTTATTGACATTTTATTTTACAGATGCAGACCCTTTTTGTTCCTGCAGCCTACACACACACATACACACACACACACACATACACACACACACACACACACACACATATATATATACAGTGTTGGGGGTAAGGCATTACAAGTAACGCGAGTTACGTAATCAGATTACTTTTTTCATTTTTTCAGTAAAGTAACGCATTACTTTTTAATTTACAAGAGAATATCTGAGTTACTTTTTCAAATTGTAATGCATTACTTTTAAAAGTAACTTTCCCCAACACTATATATATATAAAATTATTATTTTTGTTTTTAAAGGGGTCATATGATGCGATTTCAATTTCTCCTTTCTCTTTGGAGTGTTACAAGCTCTTGGTGCATAAAGAAGATCTGTAAAGTTGCAAAGACTAAAATCTCAAATCCAAAGAGATATTCTTTATAAAAGTTAAGAGTCAACCACGCCTACCTAAAACGGCTCGTTCGAACACGCCCCCACATACCTATGTCACGATGTGGGAAGATTTGCATAACGCCGCCCAAACGTTCACGCAAAGAAAGAAGGCGTAACTTTTATTCTCGCTGTAGTATTGTTGCCGCCGCCGCCATGTTGTGGATATGCTGTGTGCTTCATTGTGAAAGTGAAACTACTTTGTTTGACCTTCCAAAAGAGGACGATATCCGCTTCGTCATGCCTAGAGCTGATCCGTGCTGGGGAAATACATCAACTTCGCGCTGTCAATCACCGGATCAGCTTTCACCTCATTTCATTACACCAAATACACAAAATAATGTTCTTTTTAGCAGCATCATATGACCCCTTTAAGTAATATCTGTTTCTAACAGCATGTGTGCTTTTTTGAGGGTAATTTCTGTTGACAGCATGTGTGCTTTTTTCATTCTTTTATAATTGTGTTTTATTGTGTTACACCTGCCATGTTTTGCATTTTTATATTTTTTGAAATTAACTTGAACTTTGGGGGCTGTTCAGTAAACTTTCACACGTACAGATGATTGACTGGAAACGAATCGTCCCTGAGCAGGGAACATTTTAATTGGTTGGAACCATTCTGTCCCGCCCCCTTTCTTGGGAGCCGAGGCTTACCGTTGGCTGAAGTGGAAGTCATTTAAAATCTACGGAAGTCAGTCGTCATCGCAGACCCAGCTGTTACTAGTCGCGTCACTCCCTTCGCCAGCTGATCGCAGACGCCGGTAACCGTGAGAGGCGAGAACGCAGGAATCACTTCACCAGTGAGGTGAGCAACTTTTCAGACATTAACCAGCCTCGTAGTTAATCTAATCCGCAGTCTGCTTCTGTCTGGCTTTAGATAGAACAGCTTTATTAGCTCCGGGGAAAGGCGAGGGCAGTTCACTTAGGTGGGGCGGAAAAAATCGGATTCTTCAGAGGTACGAATGCGCGTTATATTCGCGATAAAATCAAAATATTAGAACAGGCCACCATCGAATTTGCTGGATACCGGGCGGAGGTCGTTACATAAGTTTCATTCCATTATTCCGGCCAAACTTCCAGCCTTCTAAAGCCTTTACTACTCGAGTGCGTAAATCGGTGAGTGTATTTAAAGTTCTCTCAAGAAGAAGCTAACCCGACGCAGCAGAGACATGTTGACTGAATACAAGTTAGTTATTCAGGACAATCACGTCAGTCCTTTTTATTGCTGCATAGATGCCAACGTGTCTGCTAAAGTGTGTTTCCTCATTTGGTTGGGTATTGGGTAAGAACGTCCTTATGTAATGCATTCTCCTCTGATGAGGAACTCTCAGGAGCTTTTGCTCGATATGTGACTGTAAGGTTTGCTGGGCGTTGAACGTTTCAATGGAATATAGCCGATTTAGGAAGTTACATGCTCGGATAGTTTAGCTATACATTGTTTTAAGTCTTTTATATATGAAAAAAATACATTTAGTTGAATATAATTACGTTATATTAATAATAACTGCGTATCGTTTTACTTTAATAATAATAATAGCCTTTTTTCTATCCCATGATACAGCAAGTTACTGTTAAGATACTTTAACTACCTTTAAATGCCACTGAATCTACTGGCATGGTTTCTTTTCTTATTTTTAATTGTTGTTAAATACAAACTAGAACCAAATCTATATAAGAACAATATGCAGCTGTATTCTACATGTAGTTTGCTTGTGAAGAGCAGGCCTCAAATGCTCGGAGTATTTTCTGGAGATGTCACTTAGTGACACTAAGACGATGCCTTTCAGCAAGAATCCTTGAAAAGACGCTCCTCGTGACATTCTGTATCCGTATGATTGGTTTTATATTTGGCTTGGTCACAGCAAGTCAACACTTCTCAACTAGGCATCCAAAAATAGACAGTTCTTCTGAATTGGTGTTCAAATCGAAGGACCGTTACGCAGTTACAGCCCTTTAAGAGACAGAAAGCTAATCTGGCCACCTTTTTCCTCGTGTCTGAGGAATCAGCCTGCACTTTACCCTTATGTTATGGATCTGGAAGGTGGGTTGCGTTGCTTGAGATCAACCAGCTGTAATAAAAAGCAAATGTGTTTCCAACTGACAAAACCACATCTCTTTTTATAGATGATTTCAATGGTGAAGTATGTGTGCCGTACTTCCCTCAGTAATAGGTCTAGTTATCAAGGCAAACTATATATATATATATATATATATATATATATATATATATATATATATATATATATATTTGTCTTTTTTAAAAGACATTTCAACTTTTTTTTATTTCGTGAAATGGAATAAATATGTTTATAAATACAAAATGGCATATTTTTGTATTGATGCCAGTGCATTAAAATGGCCACCAGAATCCATGGCAAGTCAGTACTCGGTCACACCTGATTCAGCCTCAGGTTTGCTGTGCAATGATTTTTATTTTTTTCTCTCTCCACCCTTAAATGGCAAAGAGCGATGGAGACATCTTCCCACCCTGTTCTTCAGTACTCGCACACTAACTGATTCAGTCTTTTGTTTGCTCATAGATGTCACTTTGTCAGCTCTGAGAAAAGACCTCAGCATTAGCACAAAGTCAGAGTTTAACTGTATGGTTTATGCTTGTGAATGACTACTGATCACATTGACTGAAGATGCGCAGTTTGAACATGTCTTTGTACCATAAGACACACTTTTTTTTTAATGCTAACAGTGTAGGTTAGTGTGTTAGCCGTTAGCAATAGCGAGCTGACCTTAATGTTTCCCTGTTCCATTCACGCATTGCAGCTTGTGTACACCCAGACCAGATCAATAGATCGACTGGTGACAGGGGGAACGAGACGAGCGTGTTCAGATATGCAAACACTGTCAATTCGGGCTAATTTGCTTGCACTGCTGTGACACCCCTGGAAATTTCATTGCGTTGACATGAACATTCAATTATTTAGTTTAAGTGATTTCTATAGCATGTGATGTAATGAGTCCAAAGCTTTGAGGTAGAATAAATGCTATATAATGACTAATAAGCACTAATTACCCCATATATAATAATTTACGGGTGATATTAAGAATAAACAAAAGGCCACGTTCAGCCCTTATGTAATATAATTTAGGCCTCCTTTTTTATCAATCAGGAATCATGAATTTTGTAACTTGCTCATTGGAAAAACATTCATCTATCTATCTATCTATCTATCTATCTATCTATCTATCTATCTATCTGTGTCATAGAGTTAGCATGATTCTGTGCGATGGAAAATATAGACTCTTTAGAGACCAAACACGCTTGTGAGCAGGAATGTTCTGCAAGCATGTCTTGTTTGGGATCTGAGGAATGATGGGCATTCTTGGGCCTCA